CCCCACATTTAAGAGATCTCTGCTAATTGACCTACAAAAAGTTCTGACAAGTCTTTATAAAATTACAAACTTAAAAAAAGGTCACTACAATCCAGATCCTTCTGCTAATGTCTCAATAGTTGTTCAAAATATCAAATCAATGGTATGTGAGATGCTGAGATCCCCTGGACCCTATCTTTGTCGTCTTTATGGGAAGTCATTACTGCCTCCTTGGTGAAAAACTACATTCACAATTGTCCTATTGATGTTATTATTTGGCCCATGCATGTTTAATTGTTTCTTTGGCTTTGTCTCCTCCAGATTCAAAGCTATTCACCTTCCCAAGATATTGCCTGCTGTCTACTGAGGGCCTTTAGATAGAACCTCTGGAGAGTGTCCCTGACTGCCAGTCAACAACTATGATGACCCAATTCAACCTGAAGAAGCCAAAGTGGTCATTGCCCATGATCCCCTCATGGCAGGTTGGGTTACTTCTTCAGAGAGGGGAATGTTGTAGGCAGTTAAATTAGATAGACATATTATAGGCAGTCAGACAGGGCCAGGCCCTCAAGGAAACCAGATGGAAGACAAGGTGACTTTGCAACTTTGGAAGAGACAAACACTCCCTTTGGGCCACTCCTCAAGACAAAAAAAGTAAACAAATGCAACCACATAATTCCCTAAGGATGGGCATCAAGGATTAATATTCTAAATAGGTATCAATCACTCTGAAAGAGCCTGAAATAGTCACTAACTCAGCCCCCACCAGGAAGAGACCATGTTCAAATTCATGCCCTCTTGCTACATGACTCACTTCCCCATTTGATTCAGTTTGATCAATTTTACCTGAGTAATGGTGCTTGTAATCTCATTGGTTGACCATAGTTTTGTGCCACCTAAGCAAGTTCCCATGTTCTCCTCCTTAGACTCACCTCCCCACATGGTTTTGTACTATAAAATCCCTGGAAAATGGAGCTTCTCAGGCAACCCACTCAGGTCCCCCTTCTGTTCCTCTCTCAGAAGCTTTCTTCCCCCCCCCCAATAAATATTCTGCTCTTAACCTCCGTTTGTCCTTAAAATTCATTCTTCAGTTTTAGAGAACATGAACTCAACCAGGTACCTTTCAGGTTGGGCGTTTCATTTCCCCTGCATCAGTGCGAAGGGATGTGCAGGAACTGCACAGCATCTCCACCTGCACCTCTCTACTGTTTCACCCACTATGTGTTGTTTTAGTATAACAGCCCTAGCAAACCAATATACCTTCTCTACTTCATTCTTCATCAAGTCCTACCCACTCTACTTTATATATATATATAGGACTCACTCATCCCTGCCCCAGCCAAACCTGCTACAGATGCTGCTGCAGCCTTCCAGTGGTCTGCTTCTACTCTTGCCTCTCTACAGTTCAGTCTCCACAGACAGGTGGAGAGTAGCACTGTGTACTAAACTAGATAGAAATATATAGGTAGTCAGACAGGTAGACTCACACCTGAGTCTCTAGAACAGGAGGGAAGAATCCTTTCCTTTGAAGATAAAGTACTAATATATTGGGTTAAAACTGCAAATTGGTGAATTGACAATAGAACATAGACTGCACATCTTATGCTAAGATGAGAGAAAAATGAAAACAGAACTAGAGGAACAGAAAAGTCCTGCAATCTGCCTGGCTTTGCAGTAGGACCATCTAGGCAGGATTAAAAGGAATACAAAGGAAAAAATAAAATGCTTCCTGTGAGTACGCTCCAATAATGAGTCCTGTGTGTTCTAAGTTCTAGTGATAGTGATTCAGGTGAGCAGCTATATGATCTTTATTAGGTAGAGAAGGAGGAGCAGCTAGGAGGGCCCTGGTGGGAGAACATAGCTATGCGGGTATACAGCCTCAAGGAGGCCGCGGTCAGAAAGTGAAACACTGGGACAACATTCCCACGTGTAGTTCCCAACATTTCTGAGTGGTAGCATAATGTAGAGGGTTAAATTTGGATTAATCAGTGAACCATGAAAGTCAAGAAGTAAGGAAACAGTGTTGACTGTTACGTAGGCACTTTGACTCTAAACTATCTGAAGAAAGGGTCTCAGTTGCCCCACCCAAAACCCAGGCTAGGACTGGGCACTTCACACGTGCAGAAGTAAAACAGAGGGTGAACTCCCAGAAGCCTCCGAGCGGCGCACAAGACACGCCCAGAAACACCTCCCAAGCTTGCGTGTGAGCAGCAGGGAGTTGCACGCAGGCGCACAGACCCGCGCATGCCCAGTACGCTCCGACCCAGCTGGGGCACAGCGCTCGGTCGCGCGGCTCGGGCGGGAAGGCCACCCTGCGGCATGAGGGGCTGTAGCCTGGCAGCTCCCTCGTCCTCCCTCCGGCGCCATGGAATGCCTGCGGAGCCTGACTGGGATCCTGCCCCGCTCGGCGGGGCTGCCCCGGAGGACCCTGTGCGCCCTGGCCTTGGGCCTCTGCCCCGTGGCTCGCCCCGTGACCTCCTGCGGCCGCGCGAGCCGCTCGCTGGGCAGAAGCCGGGCTGCTGCGCTCTGCGGGCCCAGCCGGACCCGCGTGGCAGGTACGCTCCGCCTCGGTCGCCGCCGCGACCCGCCCGTCCTTGGCGCCCAGCCCCGGCGTCCTGACCGCGCGCGCCGCCCAGCCGACCTTGCGCTGCGCCCTGCTGTGCGCCCGGCGGCGCGGGTTGCTCCTCCGGTGCGCTGCGGGTCCCGAGATGCGTGGGACCGCTTACGGCGCGTGGCTGTCCCCCAGCTGCCGCGTGGGAGGTTTTTAAAATCAGAGCTTTCGTCCTTAGTCATAACAGTTGTGCGGTAAAGGTTGTAATGTTGTTATTGTTTATAAATTATTCTCTTCCCTGTATTGTTTCTCCTATGAGCACGTTCGTGCAGTTGTACAGTGGCGCGGGTACAGAGTGGAGACGCGCCTACAACTAAAGCTGAAAAGTTTGGGGCCACGTGGTGAAAGCTGCCCATAGAAAGGATTTGACTTTGTTTTCAGCTAATGTTTGCGCAGACAGCGGAAGGCTTGGACAGAGAAAAAAGGGAAACTTTTAAGTTGCTGATTTACAAAGGGGTTAAAGCAACATAATAAAGATTTTCACTGATGCAAGTGTAAATATTGTTGAGAGATGTTATACATATATATATATATATATATATATATTAATGTATTTAGTACAGGGTCTCACTATACAGATCGGACTCGTAGTGAGCCTTCTGTTTTCAGCTTCCTAAGCGCCGGGATTACAGACACCCTGACCCCACCGCCCCTCTCACCACCAAGCTCAGTCTCATTCGCCATCTCAGCACATCCAGGGTTCATGGCATACCGGGGATCAAACCCCTGGCCCCTGCGCCTGCCTAAGCAGGGTTTTTAGTGCACTGAGCTCTCTGGTGGGCCTGAGAGACAATCTCCAGACATGTATAGTCGTGCATCTCAAAAATACAGCAATGTCTTAAATGTTTTTTCACAGTTGTACTTACCTACTCCAGAGTAACTTACATCAGTCAACCCCTCCCTCCCCAAGCCCTTTCAGAAGTGAGTTCATTTGGTAATACTTGGGAGTGCAGTTGTAGGAACGAGCAAGGGGAACTTTGAGGATAAGCATTGAAATTCACAATAGTAATTCTGGTGACACCTCATCTGATTTGTAACTAGTTAGAAAATCTCAGTGTATATCTCTGCTTTTAATTTTCTTCAACTAACCTTTACAACATAGCAGTATGTAAAAGGAGAAAAGGAACCTCATCAGTTACCATAGTCGTGGTGGGCGTAGTGGTTGACCCATGTAATCCCAGCACTCCGAAAGCTGAGCCAGACAGTCGCCTTGAGTTTGAGGCCAGCCTGAATGGTACCTAGCCATACAATAGCCCCCCCAAAACCAAATTACCAGAATTATTATATAGAAATAGTGGGAAGGAATAAGGAAAAAACGATCCTGAGTCAGACCAACAAGAGCTAGGGTGATTACATTGGTAACAAAATAATTTATGATAATTGTTATATTTTTCCATTACTCTGTTGAGTAGTTTGAAGTGACCTTCGTTAGCCATTATACTTTACAGCAAACTTCACCTCAGTCCAATCATGTGTTTTTGATGAGTTTTGATTAAAGACTGGTATTTATTCTGGTTGAATAGAGAGTGTCAGAAATACTGTATGTAGAAAATAAAATATGCAGGGTTTGAGGTGACGAGATAGCTGAGCAGTATAAAGCACCTGCTTAGCCTACCCTCATGGCAGGCTGAACCGGCAAATAAATAAACAAATAAAATGTACACAGTGCATAATGTGTAACTCAATAGGTAATCCTGATATTGGAATGCTGAAAACTCAGGTGGATATCAGTTTTCATGAAGCCTTTTTAAATTTTGCAAAAAATTTAAATTATGCAAAAACTCACTTTTTGTTTAAATCTCAAGAGACTGCTTTACATTTGTTCATTCAATTCTGGAGTATTAAACTAAAATTAGAAAGGGATTGGAATAGGCTTCTAGGGGCCGGGGAGATGGCTCAGTAGAATAAGCGCTTCCCTGGAGTAGACTTCTAATGCCTTATCTTAAGTAATAATGTCTTATTGCTTTAAAAAATCAGTCCCTATCAAACCTAACATAATTAGCTGCAAATATTTAAATTATGAAATAAGAATGCTTCTTTTTCCTATAGGAAAGAAGTTCAGAAAATAATAAAGTGCACCGTGTGAAAACCGATTGTGTGATCACACGGAATTGTCTCATCTTTTTCTTCAGGTGAAGTGCACCGGTTTAGAACTTTCGACGTTTCTCAAGCCACTCTAGCCAGCGTAGCCCCCGTGTTCACTGTGGTGAGTGTGTGGCACGTCTGATAACTTACCAGAAGCACTTCCCGTACTTACTAACAGCTGGAATGTTGGCCAAGCTACTAATGGCTTTTGCTTCATAGTTAATTATTTTGTCATGCTGCCTGTGGGTTGTACCTAGCCAGTGACTTGTGACTTACAGTGGTCTTGAGACCGTGGAGCTCTTTAAATACTAGAATAGCTTGTGTGTGTTACTGTTCACAGCTTCCTGTGCTTTCCCATTTAGAGGCCCTTAGACCGTTAGCCGTAGCAGGACTTGCACCTGCGCGCTACAGAATTCTCTAGAGGAGCATCTTGAAGCAGCACAAAGCGCTTGATCTGAGCCAGACTTTCTAAGCTCTAATCTCAGCTCTGCCTCTTCTTATTAACTAGGTAGATTTGAGCAACTTACTGTAACATCTTTGTACCTTAATTTTCTCATCTGTAAGCTGCTTTATAAAAATTTTGCAAGGATTAAGTCTAGTTTATAGAACTGTTGTAAGGATTAAATATACCTTACAGAATTGTTGTGAGGATTAATGATACGGAAAGCCCTTAAAACAGCGTGGCATACAGTACAGACCCAGTATATGTAGACTCCAAAGATATTTAGGCTTATTAAAATGAGTTTTCTTTCTAAGCTATATACAACAAGATAACTCCTAAAATTACATCTAGAGGTTATTATGTTCATTGTTAAACCAGCATATAAAATCTTATGTTAAATATTGAAAAAATTCTTTGTAGGTAAAATAATTGTCTACCAAGAACATAAGAAATCAACTGATGCTATTTGAAATAGCGAGTTTAGGAAATAAGCTGGTGACAAAGCAAACATTTTTGAAATCATATTTGTATGATTTTTAAGAAAATAAAAGCTCCATTGAATAAAAAGAATATAATTGAGATGCAGAAATATTTATTATGTGTGAAGTGAAGGTGTGAAAATGTATGTGTAACATGAATACATTTTATGGTAAAAGACTGCAGTAACGCTCAGTAAACTATTAGCGTGGCTCTACGTAGAATTTGTCATGCCCTGACTTAGTTTTATTTGACATACGTCGCTTCTCATTTTCTGCAGTGAATATATGTGTTCATTAAATAAATTTAAAGTGGAAAGCTTGTCTGTTTTACACAAATATAGAGCTTCTTTATATAAATTTTCCTTTAACATTAATATTTTATGCTATTTACATATTGCTAAAGATCTTTGCTCACAAGCAGGAAGCTAATGTATGTACTGTGGAGTGTGTTGTAACACAGCATGCGTGTGCCCAAAGTCATAGCCTAAGACCTATGTGGCACCCACAACCTTATCTTACAGTGTGTTTCTGAAAATGAATTTCATAGTAAATGAGACAGCCAGTGCACAAAGTTGTTAAGCATTGTTTGCTAATTTTAGACTTGACAGTGGATAAGTATACAGAAAAATATTTCTCTACTTTAAGGAAATAAGTGCACTTTGTGGAAAATGGCTTCTCTCAAGCTGTCAGAAGAGGACTCCTCTGTAAAGCTTTATTAATTCTGCAATGCTGAAGAGAGACTTCTTAGCCCCAAGCAGATGTTTAGATTTACCAGACAAGCCACACACGTCCAGTCTGCTGATGGGGACAGGAGACAGTGCACTCTGCCAGTCAGTGTCTCTTCTTCATAGCGAGTCCTTGCAGCCACCTGGGGCTTCTCTGGCCTGCTCGGTGATAACTCAAGTGCAAGGAGATGCAGGAATCTGAGAAGAGTGAGGTCCCCCCAGCTCAGTAGCCTGCTGCCCCTCTGTGCTAGCATGTCTTGTCACCAGCTCTGTTCCCAGGCCCCAAGCAAACAGGCTAGGTGCCAGCTACCATGCTGAGCAGTGGCATCCCTTGTGGTACCTAATACTTCATAGTCTTCCCTGTCCAGTGCAGTCTGCCAGTCAGTGTCATTGTCACCATAAACAGTGTCACCAAATACCTGGCTGATGCTCTTTTGTCAGTTATCAAGGTGCCCAATAAGAAGTCAGGCCCAGGTCAGGCTTTTCTTAGCAAAGGAAAAGGTGACTTTTCCCTTAACCTTTACACCTACTTACCCTAGAATCAGTTTGTCTATAACTGCATTTCAGCATTTTGAAGATTGTATAGATACTTTAAATACTGTAATAGTTAGAGAGTAATGTTGTTTTTTGATCTACAGACAAAATTTGACCAAGAAGGAAATGTTACCTCTTTTGGTAAGTATCTTTATTTCATTCTAAATCATGAGAAGGGGGGGGAAAAAAAAAACTCAGTGAATGAGTAAACTTGGTGACGTGTAGGACAGTTGCCGTGTTCAGTGTTTTGATGGCAAGGCCGTCACCCGCGTGTGGGAGGAGTCTCCTCTGCCATATGGGAGGCCGTCGCCCGCGTGTGGGAGGAGTCTCCTCTGCCATTTCTGCACTGGCCCTATTTGGAGCTGGCAGTGCGTGGGCTGTGCATGATCTCCCAGCCTTTTCTCCTGGGAGGAGTCTTGCCAGGGAGAGTCAAGGAATATTTTTGGAGAATGGGGCAGGAGATAGAGGTGCCTTTTCACTCTTGTTTCTCTTCTGTCGGTCTCTTTTAAACTGCCCTCCTCCTCACCTTTGTTCTGAAGTGCGTTATGGTAAAATCGCACAATACCACGGGTGGTACAGTGGGTGATGAAAAGCAGGGTGGGACAGGGCATGAGGTGGCAGTTGTGTGAAGCTGCTGCTGATTGCTGTCTGTGGACAGCTCCTTTTAGAGGTGAAACCAGGTGTTGCTTTACTGTGCAGCTTGAGACCCCGGTCTCAGATCCTCCTGTGTTTCCAGCCATGTGGTCCTGTTGCTGCCATTCCTGGGAGCTGAGTGTTTCTCTCAGTGTCTCCTTCAGAAGATTGTGCCACTTGTACCTCTGCCACAGGTGTGATTGGGCACCATAGAAACAGATACTGCCGTAGGCGGTATAATGTCTTGAGTTTCTGTCATCTGTGTGCTCTTAGATAATAAATTTAGTTTTCAGATAGGAGAATCTGGGATGAGAACTGACCTAATTTTGTCATTCTGATTTCTCTAAGAACACAAAAAATTGAACTTATCTGTTCACACATTTAGAATACTGAAGATGATGTAGTGAAAAAAACAGAAAGAAAATGCCATTGTGTAAAATTTATGTTGAAGAAAGATGCCCTGTCCCTAAAGCAAGAAATTGCTTCTGGGCGTTCCTCTCTGATGCATGGTTGTGGATTGTTCTTTATTGGTTCCAAGGCCAGAGAAGTTTCACCAAGTGTAGAAAAGAGAAAGAAGTCATTAGCGTTACTGCCTGTGTCTCTGGGTTGATGATGGTATGAAAGCACCCACTTTAGCTTTTGTGTCTATCATAGCAGGAAATCGTCCTGGTGGTGCTGGGAAGGGTGCTCTGACAGAACATCTAAACTCTTGCTCTTTTAGTTTAGCTCATTCTTTCTTCTTTTCTAGAAAGGAAGAAAACTGAATTATACCAGGAATTGGGTCTCCAGGCCAGAGACTTGAGGTTTCAGCATGTGATGAGCATCACGACCAGGAGCAACAGGATTATCATGAGGATGGAGGTGAGGGGTGGCCTTGCTGTCCACAGCTCCACTGCAGTGCATCACAGGTGCCTGCAGAGTCCTTGGTCAATATGTGGCTTAAAAGTGGTTTTAGTAGGAAAATACCTCTATGGAGCACGTAATGCGTTTTAGGTAGAACTCATTTTACATGGATTATATGCATGTGCTCAGCAGATGTAACGCTATCTTGTGTTGGAAGAGTTACATTCTCATTGTTTAAGTTTAGTCACTAGTTTCTAAAATTATAAAATTTTTGTAATATATTTTTACTCCTATCATTCTGTATAATCTTACTTACCAATAACATATTCTGAGGGCCAGCCAAATAGCTCAGTGGATTAAAGTGCCTGCAAGCAGGCACAGGGGCGGAGGGTTCTATCCCCAGGTCTGCCATGCTGGCCCCGCCCCTGGGGTGCACTGAGGCAGCAGTTGACACTGGGCATGGTGGTGCGTGCCTGTAATCCCAGCTCTTGGGAGGCTGTAAACAGGCAGATCACTAGGAGTCCAATCTAATAGTGAGACCCTGAACACCCTTTAGACCCTTCCCTAAAATACAAAAAAAAAAATTCTGGTTTCCTATATCTAGAATTAAATTTTGAGCCCTCAATTTAAATTTTTATTGACAGCTTTCTAAAATACATTGTATCTTTCTTTTGTACTCAGAACCCCACATACACTGGCTGTTCCTTAGTGACCCAGAGACATTGTTACTGTGGCAGGCAAAAGCATAGGGTCCTGCAGAGGATGAGGAGTCATGGGTTGGATGGTCTTGCCCAACAGTGACTTGCTTTCTTCACAATGGCTTTGATGCCAGCTTTGTATCCATTTATCTGGAATTGATGAAAATGAGCGTGTTGGAAGCCATCTTTAGCACTTCTTCTCCAGGAAACATTCTCCACTCTTGCTCTCAGTACCTTCAAACCAGAATCTCTTTCGTAAAGAGATAGGTGTGAGGTCAAGCAGATTTAGCAGTGTTAATGTTATAATCTAAATAACTGTACAGTGACTGTACGGTATCTACAGGGCAGTCTTAAACTTTTTTATGCGATACCAAGGATTGAACTCAGGACCTTGCCCTTGTCACAGAAGCGCTTACTCTACTGAGCTATCTCCCCAGCCCTTAAATATTTTTATATAAATTTTTTGTGATTAACATGTAAAATAGAAAATATGTGTGATGTCTGTGTCACTGATAGGAGGATGGTCACAGGCAGGCTCCCTCTGCTCTAACATAAAAAGTTGCCGGTCTCCAGAAAAATTTCTAACTTCATGCTATTTTATATTAGCACATGAAGCTGTGTTTTATCTTTAGAATGTCAGATTAACTTAATGCGTTTTTGTGGGTTCTATTTTTAATCATTGATCTATTTAAAAATTTCTTTATTCATTCATTTGGTACAGGGTCTCGCTACCAGCTCAGACTCGTAGTGATTCTCCTGTCTCAGCCTCTCCCATGCTGGGATTAGAGGTATGCGCCACCACACCCATTTTTGGTGGCCGCCTCAGAACAGGGCCATACAGGCATGCTGGGGATCAAACCCAGGTTCTTGGACTTGCCAAGCATGTGCTTAGACCGCTGAGCTATCTCCCCAGCCCCATGTTTTAATGTTTTTAAAAGGAAGTTTTTCTATTTTAACCAAACTACTTATGACTAAAGTAAATGTTTTCTAGGCGTCTACCTAATAGCTGACTTTTAATAACTCTCTTTCCCTTTATTGCCTATTTTGCAAGATTACCTTGGAAGTCTTTTTTTTTTGTACCAGTACTCAGGACTTTGTGCTTTCCAGGCAGGTTCTTATGCAACTGAGCTATGTCCCCAGCCCCTCCCTTGAAAGTGTTAAATATAGAATTTGCATAATTTGACATTATATTGAGAGTAAGTTAGAGTTATCAAGGTTTACTTATGTTTTTAGGTTTTCTTCTTTTAAAAATATGTCTTTGTTGTGTGCTTGAAAACCAAATGAATATTGACTGGCTTTATCTTAATTCAAAATTAGTAAAATGTTAAGTCAACATCACAGATGTTATTTTTTTTTAGTAGCTCTGTAATTTGTACAGATATACATGTGTTTACATAAGTGTGTGTATGTATGTATGTCCTTTTTTTATTTTATTTTATTTTATTTTTTTTTACAGTATTTGAAAGCTGTGATAACTCCAGAGTGTCTTTTGATATTAGATTATCGTAATTTAAATTTAGAGCAATGGCTGTTCCGGGAACTTCCATCACAACTGGCTGGAGGTGGTCAGCTTGTTACATACCCTTTACCTTTTGAGTTCAGAGCTATAGAAGCACTCCTACAGTACTGGGTAAGCTTTTTTTTATACAGTTTTTTAAGTTTGTTTGGGTTTCAAATGCTATGAGTGGGAAGACAAGTTGGAAGTGGTACTTCTTCAAAGGCATCCTCCTAGGCAGAATCAAGAGTCATTTCTACATGTCCTAAATGAAGAACGTGTCTTAATTCCTAAACTGTGCTGCTCAACATAGAACTAAAGACTCTAGTTTAGGGGCCGGGGAGATGGCTCAGTAGAATAAGTGCTTCTCTGGTGAGCACAAGGGCCTGAGTTCAATCCCCGCTTCCGCCAAAAAAAAGAAAAACAAGACTCTAGTTTAAGATACACATCGTACTTTAAATGCATTCCATTTTATTCTCTAAACTGTCCATTTTGAAAGTGCTTGCTTTACAGCTATTATTCATCAAACCATTCTTTGACTTAACAGTCTTTTGAAGCACCTAAGTGCTGGCTCTGTTTGAGCCCTGAACTGATGTAGGGATTACATCCTTCTAAGCACTCATTAGTAAATTAATAGTCACTGGATGTGTGGGGTCGAGTGGTTTGCTTTGCCTGTCACATCTGCCCCTCATCATCAGTAAGGATGGTGGTGGTGCAAGAGCTGGTGCAGAAAGCATTACCCAGAGTGGGAGGGAGAGAGGAGGGCAGAGAGGGTCTAAGTTGATTGGGATTGCATGAGTTTTGTTTTGTTTGTTTTGGTGACAGAGTCTCACTATGTAGTTCAGGTTGGGCTTGAACTCAGATCATAACCCAGACTTGCCTCGAATTTGCAGTGATCCTCCTGCCTCAGCCTCCCAGTACTGGGATCGCAGGCATGTGCCACCACACCCAGCAGTAGGATAAACTTGATGTCCTTCTTTTGCCTGCTTTGCTTAACTGAAAGAAGAGATGGCTACACTCCCTTTTAGGGTTAATACATTCCTGCTGGCTTGAGCCACTTGGGTACAAATTAATCTTAATTTTTTTTTTAGTCCTTTTACTAATAAAATTAATGAAAAGCTACCTGATGAAAAGTCATGCCTGTAGTACTGGTGGTTCAAGCTGCCCAGCAATAAGACAGACAAATTACAGCTGTCATGAACATGGTAAAGAGCTAACAATAGGTGAAAACAGTGGTCTGTGACAGACTACCCAAGGAAGGTGGCTCTCAGGACAAAGCAAGGCATCCCATCCTTCAAGAACAGGCAGGGGGAGAATTAATGGGGAGGGAGCCCAGGTTGTCTACTGGATACACATTCTTCTTGCCATTTAGTGAGGTCCCGGAAGACTTTCTTCAAAAACAACACTACACAATAAACAAGGTCAGCCATCCCCTCAAGGAGCACTGAGAGCTACCAGGAGCAGGGTGTGTCTTACAGACACCTGCACCCCAGTTCACCCCCACTGCCTGAGTCCAGCCTTGCTGGCAGAGGATATAATGTGTCTTCTGGATACTAAAACATTAGGTCTGCCTCGCTTTCTCCACCCTCCATCCCACCCAGGCTCTAAACCTAGAAGTACATCAATGTGGAAATAAACGAAGTATCTACAGTCCAGTTCCCAAATTAGAAAGTCTTAGCTTCAGCTGTAATCCTGCTTCTGAGATAAACAGTCTGCGCGACAGTGCATACAGTGGTACTTAAGTCCACGGACTTGATTCTTTCCGCAGTTCTGGTCACAAGTTAGTTGGAAAGAACCAAATCAGCTTCTGTGGTTGGGTTCAGTCTTGACCTGATTGGGAAATTTGATTCTGTTCTCTAGTTAGGTTTGGAAACAGAATCATAATTGAGTTTATTAAACAAGGTACCATTTTACAACTAATTTTACTGCTGAATTCAGTAGTATGACTATTTACCAGGTGGTTTAGAAATAATTCAATCTTTTAATTATTATAGCTCTATCAAGTGCCAAAAAGTATACTTTTGTCTTTAGACTGACTTTCTTGGGGGATTTTTAGCCCAAATTAATTTTGTTTTTTCAAAAAGTATTTTCAGTAGGATTTTTGAGCTGTATTTTGTTTACAAAGTACATGTAAACCGATATAAAATTTGTTTTAATTGTTGAAGGAATATTGATTTATCTTAAAAAATTGGCC